CTACAGACCACTCATCCAGGAAATAGGAGAGAACTACAGACCACTCATCAAGGAAATAGGAGGGAACTACAGACCACTCATCAAGGAAATAGGAGAGGACACAAACAGATGTAAAAACAGTCCATGCTCATGGTTAGGAAGAATTAATATTGTGAAAATGGCCATACTTCCCCAAGTAATTTATAGATTCAATGCTATCCCCATCAAGTTACCATTGACCTTCTTCACAGAACTGGAAAAAAACACTTTAAACTTCATATGGAACCAAAAGACAGCCTGTGTAGCCAAGACAATCTTAAGCAAAAAGAACAAAGCTGGAGGCATCATGCTACCTGACTTCAAAGTATACTACAAGGCTACAGTAGTCAAAACAGCATGGTACTGCTACCAAAACAGAGATATAGACCAATGGAACAGAGGCCTCAGAAGCAATGCCACACATCTATAACCATCTGATCTTTGACAAACCAGACAAAAACAAGCAATGGGGAAAGGATTCCCTGTTAAATAAATGTTGTTGGGAAAACTGGCTAGCCATATGCAGGAAGCTGAAACTGGACCCCTTCCTCACACCTTACACAAAGATTAACTCCAGATGGATTAAAGATTTAAACATAAGAACTATCACCATCAAAACCCTAGAAGAAAACCTGGGCATTCAGGACATAGGCATAGACAAGGACTTCATGACTAAAACACCAAAAGCATTGGCAACAAATGCCAAAATAGACAAATGGGACCTAATTAAACTCCAGAGCTTCTGAACAGCAAAAGAAACAATCATTAGAGTAAACCAGCAACCAACGGGATGGGAAAAAATTTTCACAATCTACCCATCAGACAAAGGGCTAATATCCAGAATCTACAAAGAACTAAAGCAGATTAACAACAAACAAACCCATTTAAAAGTGGGTGAAGGATATGAACAGACACTTTTCTTTTCTTTCTTTTTTTTTTTTTTAAAGATGGGGCTTCACCATATTGGTCAGGCTGGTCTTGAACTCCCGACCTTGGGTGATCCACCCGCCTTGGCCTCCAAAGTGCTTGGATTACAGGTGTGAGCCACCACGCCTGGCCGAACAGACAGTTTTCAAAAGAAGACAAATATGTGGCCAACACACATATGAAAAAATGCTCATCGTCACTGGTCATCAGAGAGATGCAAATCAAAACCACATTGAGATACCATCTCACGACAGTTAGAATGGCGATCATTAAAAAATCTGGAGACAACAGATGCTGGAGAGGATGTGGAGAAATAGGAACACTTTTACACTCTTGGTGGGAGTGCAAATTAGTTCAACCATTGTGGAAGACAGTGTGGCGATTCCTCAAGGACCTAGAAATAGAAATTCCATTTGACCCAGCAATCCCATGACTGGGTATATATCCAAAGGATTATAAATCATTCTATCATAAAGACACATGCACACGTATGTTCACTGCAGCCCTGTTTATAATAGCAAAGACCTGGAACCAACCCAAATGCCCATCAATGATAGGCTGGACAAAAAAAAAATGTGGCACATGTACACCATGGAATACTATGCAGCAATAAAAAAACGATGAGTTCATGTCCTTTGTAGAGACATGGATGAACCTAGAAACCATCATTCTCAGCAAACTGACACAAGAACAGAAAACCAAACACCGCATGTTCTCACTCATAGGCGGGTGATGAACAATGAGAACACTTGGACACAAGGAAGGGAACAACACTCACAGGGCTAGGTGTGGGGGGGTTAATGGGAGGGGTGGGGGGAAAGTGGGGGTTAGGGAGGAGGGGGAGGGATAACACTGGGAGAAATGCCTGATGTTGGCAAAGGTGAAGGGGGATGGAGACAGCAAACCACCAGGACATGTATGTACTTATGCAACAATCCTGCAGGATACAGGACGTGCACGTGTACCCCAGAGCCCAAATGCAATTAAAAAAAAATTAGCTGGGCATGGTGGCAGGCACCTATAATCCCAGTTACTTGGGAGGCTGAGGCAGGAGAATCTCTTGAACCGGGAAGCAGAGGTTGCAGTGAGCCAAGATCACGCTACTGCACCCCAGCCTGGGCGACAGAGCCAGACTCCATCTCAAAAAAAAAAAAAAGAAAAGAAAGAAATACCTGTGACTAGGTAATTTACAAATAAAAGAGGTTTAATTAGCTCTTTAACCCACGGTACAGCCGCAGTTCCACAGGCTGTACAGGAAGCATGAGCTGGCATCTGCTTGGCTTCTGGGAAGACCTCAGGAAACTTACAGTCACAGCCGAAGGTGAAGGAGGGGAAGCAAGTGTGTCTCATATGGCCAGAGCAGGAGAAGAGAGAGTGAGGTGGAGGTGTTACACACTTCCACACAGCCAGATCCACGATAACCCACACACTATCTAGCACCAAGCGGGGATGGTACTAAACCATGAGAACTCCACCCCCAGGATCCTATCATCTCCCACCATGCCCCACTTCCAGCACTAGGGACTACAGTCTGACATGAGATTTGCAGGGGACACAGATCTGAACCATATCAGGACCAGAGAAGTTAAGGAGCTTTCCCAAGGCCACACAGCCAAAAAATGGCAGATATAAGGCTCCAACCAGACAACCCACTGCCACAGTCTACCCCTCCATCCCTATACTATGCCGCCTCTAAAAGTTAAGCAATTTCCCATTTTACATTTCACTGATTTAATCACAGATTTGTGTCCCCATAATTCCCTATTGTAAACCCAAACAACATTCTTCCAGCAACTTATTTGAATAACGTGTGTAGGACAGAAAGAAGTGACAGCTTGAAACTACTCTAATTTTACTTACGAATAATTGAGGTTGATTCATGCTGCTTTCTAAAAAACTGGTAATCCTCTTGGTTTTACAGGATGCCAAATTTGTCACATACGTCTCTTACAATTTCTACGATTCTCTCTCGAAAGCAGTACTCAAAAGCAGACAGAAAGATAGCGTACTCAGCGAGGGATACTCCAAGACAGGAGAAAGTTAACTTTCCCAGAACAGATGGAAAGAGCCAAAAAGGAAGAAGGAAAATGAAGGAGGAGCTTCCAGGAGAAAGACACATTAGTGTTCTATGTCACAAACTCTATTAGCAGAGTATAAAAAAAAATAGGCCAGGTGCAGTGGCTCATGCCCATAATCCCAGCACTTTCAGAGGCCAAGGCGGGTAAATCAACTCTGAGGTCAAGAGTTTGAGACCAGCCTGGCCAACATAATGAAACTCTGTCTCTACCAAAAATACAAAATTAACCAGGCGTGGTAGCGCAAGCCTGTAATCCCAGCTACTCTGGAGGCTGAGGCAGGAGAATCACTTGAACCCAGGGGGCAGAAGTTGTAGTGAGGTGAGATTGCGCCACTGCACTCTAGCCTGAGCAACAAGAGCAAAACTATGTCTCAATAATAATAATAATAACAATAGGCCAGGTATGGTGGATCACACCTGTAATCCCAGCACTTTGGGAGGCTGAGGCAGGTGGATCACAAGGTCAAGAGTTCAAGACCAGCCTGGCCAACATGGTGAGACCCCCATCTCTTCTAAAAAAAATGCAAAAAACGTTAGCCAGTCATGGTAGCAGGCACCTGTAATCACAGCTGCTCAGGAGGCTGAGGCAGAGAATTGCTTGAACCCAAGAGGCAGAGGTTGCAGTGAGCCAATATCACACCACTGCACCCCAGCCTGGGTGACAGAGTGAGACTCCATCTCAAAAATAATAATAAAGCTGGCTTGGCATGGTGGCTCACACCTGTAATCTCAGAACTCTGGGAGGCCTAGGCAGGAGGGTTACATGAAACCAGGAGTTCAAGACAAGCCTAGGCAATATGGCGAGATACCTGTATCTATGAAAAATTTTTTCTTTTAACAGGCAGGCATGGTGGTGGGAAACTGAGGGAGGAGGATTGCTTGAGCCCAGGAGGTTGAGGCTGCAGTGAGCCATGATAACAAAGACCCAAAAAGGTAGCAGTTTAAAGAACATCCAAGCGGCCAGGTGCAGTGGCTCACGCCTGTAATCCCAACACTTTGAGAGGGTGAGGCAGGTGGATCACAAGGTCAGGAGTTCAAGACCATCCTGGTCAACATGGTGAAACCCTGTCTATACTAAAAATACAAATAAAATAGCTGGGAGTGGTGGCGCATGTCTATAATCCCAGCTACTCAGGATGCTGAGGCAGGAGAATTGCTTGAACCCAGGAGACAGAAGATGTAGTGAGCCGAGATCGTGCCACTGTACTACAGTCTGGCAGCAGAGCTAGACTGTCTCAAAAAAAAAAAAAAAAACCTCTAGCTTGAATTTTCCTCAGGTAACTACTTTGAGGTAAGTGGTACTAAAGGACATAAAAGCTTCTCTTTTATTTACTTCTTTTTTTTTTTGAGACAGTCTCACTCTGTCGCCCACGCTGGAGTGCAGTGGTACAATCTCAGCTCATTGCAACCTCCACCTCCCAGTTTCAAGCGATTCTCCTGCCTCAGCCTCCTGCCTCAGCCTCCGAGTAGCTGGGATTGCAGGCATGTGCCACCACGCCCAGCTAATTTTTATATTTTTAGTAAAGACAGAGTTTCACCATATTGGCCAGGCTGGTCTCAAACTCCCGAACTCAGGTGATCCGCCCACCTTGGCCTCCCACACTGCTGGGAATACAGGCATGAGCCACTGCACCTGGCCCCAGCTAATTTTTGTATTTTTAATAGAGACATAATTTTTCCATGCTGCCCAGGCTGGTCTTGAACTCCTGAGCCCAAGTGATTCGCCCTTCTCGGCCTCCCAAAGTGCTGGGAATATAGGCATGAGCCACCTCACTCGGTCAAACGCTTCTTTCTGCTGGGTCATCTGGGAGGTAGCTTCTTGCTATTTCTTGTTCTACCAAGGTTTTCATTGCTGAGGATTGCCATAACAACGTCACAAACTGGGTGGCTTAACACAACAGAAACGCATTCTCTTACTGTTATGGTAGCCAGAAGTCAGAAATCAGGGTGTCGACAGGGTTGGAGGATTCTTTCTCACCTCTTCCAGCTTCTGGGAGCCCCCGGCACTCCTTGGCTTGTGGTTGCATCACTCTAATCCTTGCCTCCATCTTCACATGGCCATTTTCCCTTTATCTCTCTCTGTCCTCTCCTCTTCTTGTAAAGTGGCCACTAGTCAGGCCAGGCATGATGGATGGCACCTGTAACCCCAGCACTTTGGGAGGCTGAGGCAGGAGGATTGCTTGAAGCCAAGAGGTGGAGGTTGCAGTGAGCAGAGATGGCGCCATTGGACTCCAGCCTGGGTGACAGAGCAAGACTCCATCTTGGGAAAAAATAATAATAATAAATTTTTTTAAAATAAGTCTCTTGCTCACAAGAGGATAAATGATAGGCATGGTTTCAACATATTTTTCTAATAGCAGTAAGATGGGACATTCAACACTTTAGCCTCTTTTTCCCCTTGGCTATATATTTTTGTGTCACTTCCTGGAATTAAGAGCATATTGTGGACCAGGTATGGTGGCGCACGCCTGTAATCCCAGCTATTTGGGAGGCTGAAGCAGGAGAATCACTTGAACCTGGGAGGAGGAGATTGCAGTGAGCTGAGATCACACCATTGCACTCCAGTCTGAGCAACAGAGTGACACTCAGTCTCAAAAAAAATGGAAAGATGCCAGGCATGGTGGCTCAAGCCTGTAATCCCAGCACTTTGGGAGGCCGAGGCAGGTGGATCACAAGGTCAACAGATCGAGACCATCCTGGTCAACATGGTGAAACCCCGTCTCTACTAAAAAGACAAAAAATTAGCTGGGCATGGTGGCGCATGCCTGTAGTCCCAGCTACTCGGGAGGCTGAGGCAGAAGAATTGCCTGAACCCAGGAGGCAGAGGTTGCGGTGAGCCAAGATCGTGCCATTGCACTCCAGCCTGGGTAACAAGAGCGAAACTCCGTGTCAAAAAAAAGAAAAAAAAGTGGAAAGGAAAGGAAGGGAAGAAAAGGAAGAAAGGAAGGAAGGAAGGAAGAAAGAGAGAGAAAGAAAGAAAATGAAAGAAAGGAAGGAAGGAAAGAAGGAAGGAAGGGAGGGAGGGAGGAAGGAAGGAAGGAAAAGGAAGAAAGGAAGAAAAGAAAAAGAAAGAAGGAAACAAAGAAAAAGAAAGAAACAAAGAAAGACATCAAAATGAAGGCCATAGTTTAGATTCACCTACCAAGGCCAATCAAGAAAAAGAAAGAAACAAAGAAAGCCATCAAAATGAAGGCCATAGTTTAGATTCACCTACCAAGGCCAATCACCCATAACCACACAATCAAAGCTTCTCATCCTGATTCCCCTGAAATGCTAGCTCTAATCATAAATGAAACAGGAAAATGTATGTTTTACATTCTTTTTTTTTTTTTTTTTTTGGGATGGAGTTTCGCTCTTGTTACCCAGGCTGGAGTGCAATGGCACGATCTCAGCTCACCGCAACCTCCACCTCCTGGGTTCAGGCAATTCTCCTGCCTCAGCCTCCTGAGTAGCTGGGATTACAGGCACGTGCCACCATGCCCAGCTAATTTTTTGTATTTTTAAGTAGAGTCGGGGTTTCATCATGTTGTCCAGGATGGCCTCGACCTCTTGACCTCGTGATCCACCCACCTCGGCCTCCCAAAGGGCTGCGATTACAGGCGTGAGCCACCGTGCACGGTCACGTTTTACATTCTTTTCAGCATGATTCAGTGAAATTAAACCAATTGTCTATAAACAAATGAGCTTAAACGGCTCTATTTGTCTTAAAAGAACTTAATGTAGGCTGGCTGCAGAGGCTCATGCCCGTAATCCCAGCACTTTGGGAAGCCGAGGCAGGCAGATTACCTGAGGTCAGGAGTTCAAAACCAGCCTTGACTAACATGGTGAAACCCCATCTCCATTTAAAAAAAAGAAAAAAGAACTTAATGTAAAACAGCCAATCACAAAAAAAAAAAGCTCAAAATACTTCCTCATTTATGCCTTATAAACTTGCCCTAACTGGTGTAAGAGAACTTATTACTTGAAGTCGTGAAGTTTCCCAGATCAAGATATGTACTTGCTGTATGACAAAGAACTTTTAAAATTTTTTCTAATTTTATTTATTTTTTATTTTTTATTTTTTTGAGACAGAGTCTTGCCCTATCACCCCAGCTGGAGTGCAGTGGCATGATCTCGGCTCACTGCAACCTCTGCCTCCTGGGTTCGATTCTCAAACCTCAGCCTCCTTAGTATCTGGGATTACAGGCACCTGCCACCATGCCACCAAAATATAAATATATAATTTTTATATTTTTGGTAAAGACAGAGTTTTACCATGTTGGCCGAGCTGGTCTCAAACTCCTGACCTCAGGTGATCCACCCACGTCGGACTCCCAGAGGGCTGGGATTACAGGTGTAAGCCATGGCACCTGGCCTGATTATATTTAGACACAAAAAGTATCGTGTGCAGAAGACAGATGGTACACACAGAAGCTTCATGCAAACAGAATAAAGCGTCCTCTCTAAAAGACAAATTAGAAGGTGCCCTATCTTTCAACTTGCAGAACACAGCTTAACCTGGACTTCAGCCCCATTCTCATGCCTTCAGCCAAGCACACTTGTTCAGTGGACAACCTACACAACCGTACACAGTCTGACTATGTCTGTATGCAACAACAAAAACAACAGGCCAGGCGCGGTGGCTCGCCCCTGTAATCCCAGCACTTTGGGAGGCCAAGGTGGGCGGATCACAAGGTCAGAAGTTCCAGACCAGCCTGGTCAATATGGTGAAACCCCGTCTTTACTAAAAATACAAAAATTAGCTGGGATGGTGGTGGGCGCCTGTAGTACCAGCTACTCAAGAAGCCGAGGCAGAAGAATCGCTTGAACCCAGGAGGCGGAGGTTTGAGTGAGCCGAGATCGCTCCACTGCACTTCAGCCGGGGCGACAGAGCAAGATTTCTCAAAAAAAAAAAAAACATAAACTAAACAAAACAAAAAAATAAAGTGAAGCGCAAAGAGGATCCGGTATCCAAATGTGTTTTATATAAAATGAATCGTTTTCAGTGCACTGAGGAAGTTTTCTATTTAAAGAAATCCTGCTGTGAACTCTTTTGTGAAGAATATTTTCCTAATGGAAATTAGTCACCAAAATGAGTCATTTCTGCAAACTTTAGGCTTGAGGTTTTGCCTAAGCAAGATCTGGCCGGAGAAGTGAGACAAATTAAAGATGCCGCAAATAAATTGCAGAGTACTCAAAGGCAAAAGAGGAAAGAAAAAAAAAATGACACGTGTATATGAACCGCATTGACACAGTGGTCTCCACCAGCGCCTAATCATGGACGAGAGCCTCCTGTTTGTGCTTGTCCTTTGATCGAGACACGCTTCAAGTCAGCTTCTGTCCTCTGTCCAAATGGGGAGGGAACGAACTAACAACAACAATTAAGAGAAGGTTGGCCCAGTGAAAGCAAGTTGCCATTTAAGAGCCAAATAAAGGCGTGGCCACGTTCTGGCCCCGCCCCCCGGTCTCCCTGACAACCGCGCCGGCGCCTGGGCGGAGCTTCGGTCTCACAGACAGCCTCCCACAGGCCACGCCCACACATGCCTCGGGCTGAACCTTGCCGGGCAGCGAATTAGGATCCGGGGGGCCCAGGACGGATAAGAAAACTTGTCTGGGTGCCCACTTGGTACTGAGCGCTCTTGGGAGGGCTCTGGAGAAGATCATCGCCTCGCAGGGTAGCTCCCTCCCTCAAAGGTTCGAATCATGGTCCAGTTCTCTGGTCTCCCAGCCTCTGTTTCCCCATTTGTAGGAAAGGGATTCACAGCCTCTATCTCAGAGGCGGCTTTGGGGATTCAGAGAACTCAGAAGAGGGTAGGCTCTGTGGTGAGCGCTGGGTACGACTTCAGGGTGGGAGTGGTGGGGCAAAGTGTTGGTCCCCCACAGCAGCCCGAGGAGGTAGTATTATGGTCCTTATCTTACAGGGAAGGAAACTGAGGTCCAGAAAAGTTATGACTCTCCCCAAGGGGCTTGCCTGGCAGGACATGAAGGGGAAGGGTCCTGCCATGGGGTAACCCTCACTGGAGAATCCACAGGTGGGAACCATCACACCTACCTAAATTTTGTATTTTAGTAGAGGCGGGGTTTCACCACGTTGGCCAGACTGGTCTTGAACTCCTGACCTCAAGTAATCCACCTGCCTATTCCTCCCTGGATAGGATACAGCCATGAGCCACTGCGCCTGGCCTAAAAAAATGCATGCCTTTTTAAACAATACCTTTGCTGGAAAATTCTTAAGTCCACTTGGCATCTCCATCTTAGTCAAAGGGCCCATTAACTTTCTGTTCAAACTGAGCTCCTATTTTCATTTCTGGGTGTTTTGTTTTGTTTTTTTTTAAATTTATTTGAGATAGAGTTTTGCTCTTGTTGCCCAGAAGTGCAATGGTGCGATCTCGGCTCACTACAACCTCCACCTCCTGGGTTCAAGCGATTCTCCTGCCTCAGCCTCCCAAGTAGCTGGGATTACAGGCATGTGCCACCATGCCCGGGTAATTTTGTATTTTTGGTAGAGATGGATTTCTCCACGTTGGTCAGGCTGGTCTCGAACTTCTGACCTCAGGTGATCTGCCTGTCTTGGCCTCCCAAAGTGCTGAGATTACAGGCATGAGCCAGCATGCCCGGCCGATTTCTGGATTTCTAAACCTTGACGCTACTGGTATTCAGGGCCAGATCAATCTTTGTAGTGCAAAGGCTATCATGTGCACTGTCAGAAATTGAGCAGCATATCCAACCTCTACTCATTAGACACCAGAAACACTCCCTCCCAGTCCAAGTTGTCACAACCAAAAATGTCCCCAGACGTTGCCCCTGGAGGTTTCAAGATGGCTCCTGTTGAGAAACACTGGCCATGAGCCAAGAATTAAAAGCAATACATCTGTTTGCTTTCACTAAACAGATTTGAATTCTTTATTTTATTTTATTTTGAAAGGCAGGAACTCACTCTCTCCCCCGGGCTGGAGTACAGTGGTGCAATCATGATTCACTGTAGCCTCCAATTCCTGAGCTCAAGGAATCCTCCCACCTCAGCCTCCCTCATAGCTGGGATTATACACATGCACCAACCTCACTTGGCTTATTTTTGTATTTTTTGTAGAGACAGGGTCTCACTATGTTGCCCAGGGTAGTCTCAAATTCTTGGCCTCAAGAGATCCTCTCACCTCAACCTTCCAAATTGTTGAGATTCCAGGTGTGAGCCATCATGCCTGGTCTTGAATTCTTTAACCATTGTCCTCTACCAGAAAGTATACGCTATATGAATTCTCTCACTGTAGAGATTCTTTTCAT